TTTGCACCAGTTAAATTACAGAGTAGGAACATTTCCACCCTTTTTCTGGCTCTGGTTTCACCATGGGTAAGGCCAGAGAGGTGACAGGTCCTTGGGAATCAAGTATTTTCTGCTTTTTGTAAGAATAAGTAAATCACTTCCACCCTCACATGTTGCTATGCTTTGTATGGAAGTACAAATTTTTGTACAACCTCCCTCAAATTGCTCCCATGGTGATAATGGAGGAGTTTTCTCCCTGGGCACCTCAGTGAGCTGTTTGTGTTGGGAATTGCCTGCTGTATCTCTTAATGAATAGAGGCGGAATTTAATAACTTAAGGATTCAAAAATATGCAGGGTGTCTTGGAGGAAAGGTTTTCCTTTCAGCTCTTCCACTTCAGTGCTTGCATTTAGTTGAAAGTTTGGCATGGGTCTGTGCCCTTCCACAAAGGAAAACCCTGCGGCTGGGGCCTGGAAATTCATGGCAGAGAAATGCAATTCATTTCATTTTTACCAGGGAATCAAGGCACCACTTCAAGTAATCCAAGAAAAATGGTACCAAGTTCACACTCTGCAAGATGCATGTTTTTACCTACACCTGAGATCAGCACAAATAATTTTATCCAGTATATTTTTGATGTGGTGCTAAATTATTCAGTTGAATTCATGACTAACCTCTGGCTTTCATTTTTTTCAGTCTTTATAAAAATGAAAAATAACTATGATATTTCATTAAACAGGGAACAGCTTGCACTGCATGTGGAGACCTGGCACCACATGCTGTAAATCTTTATGAAAATGGAATGTCTGATTTACAGTGGTGCAAAATCACAGAAAAAGTATTTTTGCTGATCTCTGTGAAAGAGAGTAAGAATGAAGCAATTAAGATAACATTAAAGTCCTACTTGTAGTCCTGTCATGATAATCTTGTTGCTATTTGTTGCTATAAAATCATCCTCTGGATTGCTTTTTAAACTCTCTTTGATATTGGTTTTTCCCTTCCTGTCATAATATTGTCTTACCAGTGAAGTGACTGTCCATTGCTATGTCTGCAGAGTGGAAAATCATTTGGTACTCAATTTGTTGACCCCAGTTTTGTTCTGGTTTAGAGTTTAATTTTCATTTAGCAGAAGCTACACTAGTTCAGATAACAAATATTTCTTTCCTCAACTCACCAACTCCTGCAGCCTTTTCCCTGGCAGGCACAAAGCACCACCAGGGCTTCCCTCAGCTGTTCCAGCAGCTGAGAGTGGCCCCTGCTGAGCTCGGGGAAAGCCAGAGCTGGGAAACTGAGATGTCATGACAATAGCTGAGGATGGGGTTTCCAGAGAAATATTCCTGTAATTTGCTGGAACAGGGAAGTGAAATGTGCAATCTGACAACAGTGACGGATTTATAGACTGGGTACACTAATTAAAAACAACTTACTCTAAGACATTAATCTGTAAATGACAGCAGCAGGAGAGCTGGGCCGCTTTGTGCCCGAGCGTGGGAACGTTGAAGTGCCCTTCTCCTGCAACAACAGAACCTTGTTACATACAAAATTCAGGAATAACATTAAGCAAGAAGCAAATTGAAGGATTACTTCCTTCTGCTGTGAAACATATGGGGAGATGTTCTGCTGTAAACTGTACACCCATGTGCAAGACAGAAAGAAACAAAAAGTTTTCATTTGCTCTTTACTGTCTCTTTTTATTGCTTGTTTCTTTTTCACATGGATGTGGTGAAATTTAGCTAAGCAGTTGGAACAGAAAACTACTTCTTCCAACTAAATCTTTGCTCATACTAAATGTAACACCTTGGGATTGTCATACTTGAGATTTATCTGAGAAATTCCTCTGTAAAAATTTTCTTGCCCTGGATAAATTCCTTCCTTGAAACCTCCACCAGTAATCTCAAGAGTTGGACACACTGAGGAATGAAATAAAAATATTTCTGGTGTTCCAAGTACTTCTGATATTACATCTGTATTCCTACTTCAGCAATGATTTAGAGGGATGTCTCAATACATGACAAGATGACAGTTAAATGAAAATAACAGAATAATTTTGTTTTTTACAAACATCACTATAGTTTGCATTTGAATATAGAAAATTGGAACTTAGTATTTTATTACACATATGGAATTTAAAGCAGAGGAATAATAATGCTTTTTGAAAAGAATGTGAAGCTTAAAACACCCCAAAATGAAAGGCTCTGTAGATGTTTAAGAATACAATAGTTGAGTCTGATACAGTTTTATTTATTCATTTGCTATTTCTTCACTAAACTTCACCCTTCCCCCCATTTAATGGATATGTCCTTGAATATTCTCCTTATAGTCATTTAAGTAGCTGCTGAAGTTCCTAAGGCTGCAGTTTCCTTGTAATCTTCCATCTGTTTCAAACGCATTGTAAATACAGTCAGGTTTTCAGCTCCATAAAAGCACCCAGTAAAGTCAGTGCAATTACATGGAATTTTTTCAGATGAGACTCTCACTTGTGATGTTCGTGCCTCCATTTTTCCTAACCCCAAACTTCTTTTCATTATATAATTACAGTTTTTTTCAGCATTTTAATCACAAAGTGATCATGGTTGCCTGATTTTGACTGGACTTTGCATTCACAATTACAGGAAACGGGTTTTTGTGATATGGGTGTGACATTTACAAAAATGTCTGAAACTCCTTTCATAAACTGTTTTTCTAACATAGTATTTACAAAAGGAAAGGATTTACTTTATGACTTCTCTTTTGTTGTCAGCATGCTGCAATGGTGCCACAGAGCATTGTGCTCAAGACTGTTCTTAATTGTCAGGGTAGACACCAAGGACTGCTCTAGGTTAAAAATCTGTATTTACTAGTTAGAAAGGCCACACTTGAAAATGCCCATGTGATTTTTTTTCCCCTCTCAAGTGTTGAGGGCAATGCTCTCATTGGTGAAGTTCCTTGTGTTGCACAAAGGACAAGGTGTATATGTTGTTTGAAAGAATTATTCCATTGCTATAAAACACATACAGAAATGGGGAAGAGTGAAAGGATATGATGGATGTAATCTAATTATTATACTCTAAGTGGTTTTACTTTTTACTCTAGTTTAGCGTAATCATAAATGGAAACCAAGATAAGAGTTGGAGAAGAAAACTGAAGTGATTGGCTTTGAATTACAGTATTTTTTATGAGCAGTTAGAAGCTGCAGCAAAGTTGGATTCATGGCACTGTCTGTAGATATCAACTTTACTTTGTAGTAGTAAATCAGTAATTAAATCGTTAAATGCTAACTCTGAGCAGCTTTTCTGTATGCTGGGTTCCTTTAGCTGTGAGAGTCCCCATATGAAAATCTTATTTTCTTGTCTCACATATCTAGTCCAGGTCACCAGGAAATAGCTCCTAGAAGAATTCAGCATTCAATATTCCTTATTCAATGCTCCAAAACATATTTTTACAACATTTGTAATTAACCCAAAACATTTCAAATCTGTCTCTGGCATCCAGAATGTCATGAGGAACCAAAGAAGCCAGGGCAGATGATTTCATTACCACCAGCAGTGTGTATTTTATACCTTCAATATCAGTCTTCAGGGTCTGACACAAGTTGTAAGACTTTCATTGCTGTCAAGCTATATAAAGTCCTGGTGCCAGCTTCTTAACACTTGGAAAGTAATAACACTTCTCATCTTCTATTTAAAAAAGTACAGACTGTTTTCTTGGAATAGATTTGCAGAGCTTGCAGAGCTGAGCTATCCTTCTCACTAATATTTGTATGTTTATCACCATCCTGCCATGAAACCCAAATCAATTAATCTGTTTCTGTTCCCTGCAAGTGTAAAATAGGATAGCAGTTTGTGACCATGATCACAAAACTCTCTAAATTAAAAACATCATATGTGTCTTCCTTCAGAAGCCTGCATAAGAAATCTTGAATGATTCATATCTTATTTTTAAATCATGAGCTTTTGTTTCACCAGGATGCTTTCATGCTTTCTGTGTCTGAAAATGATGCAAATAAGTTGCCTCTACTGGTCAAGAATAAACACTGAAGTAAAATAAAAATAAAGAATTATACAGCTTCCCATGTATAGTTTAGGCACTCTAATTATTGTATGTAAATGCAGAATGTAAATTAAACAAATAAATTTAGATCTTACAGCAACTTAGTAAAAATACACCACTGAAAGTGTTTGGAAATTTAGTGCCTACAAAATGAATTGTGCTGCCTATTTCTGATGATGTCAAAATAAGCAGCTCCTGCCCTTATGCTGTAGAAAATGTTACGAATTCTGTAAATCGTAAGACAAATAGAAACTAATCTGTGTTGGGCAATATTACAGAGCAATTGCAGACTCTGAGGCCATTGTTTGAAGTTATCCCCATTTAAGTCCTTTAATGAGGACACTGACAGATTGCTGGTTGTGCTTGGAGTCCCATTCTGTTAATTCTCTATCAGGCATCAATGGGCCGTGCGCTCTGAGCAGAGCAGGACCAGCAGTGAACTCAGTCCCTGGGGACAGAAAATCTCCTTCTGCAGAGTCTGAAAGCTTCCACCAAGCTTAGTGAAGCTTGGAGATGAAGTCCCCCTCAGACGTTATGTCTGGAAGTACAGAGCTCCTCCAGCATGTATACAGCATGTGCATTGCAGTTTATTTCTGTTGTAACTACAAATCAGTGTGAGTTTGTTGGGTTGCATTCGTGTGTTTACAGGAATGTAAAACTTCCTGCTGGAGAGTTGTTTAACTGTGTGTGGCTGTCGCCAGGGAGCTTCCTCAGTAGCTACTGATTTGGGTTGTTGTCTTCAAGCGATCCAGCACTTGGAAATTTCCAGTGTAAATACTGGTTTGTTCCTTTTTGGCAAATATTTTGATTAGCTGTAAGTACCTATGATCAGTGTTGCTTACTGATGGTCTGAAAATGATAAGCCAGAGAAAGTTACTGGAATGCAATGGAAGTTTGGCAGCTCTGGTAGAACAGAAAGCAGAAGAATTAGAGATTCTGTTCCCTTTGGAGCTGTACCAAGTTGCTAATCTTTTGCTGTGTTTGGTATTCTAGGATGTCATGTCCACGTTCTTCCAGTTTGGGGCTTCCATCCAGCAAGAAGCCATTATCATGCTGAAGATTATGCAGGATTATGACTGGCACGTGTTCTCTCTGGTGACCACCACTTTCCCTGGATATCGAGATTTCATCAACGTCATTAAGACCACTGTGGAAAACAGTTTTGTGGGCTGGGACATGCAGAACATCATCATACTCGATACTGCCTTTGGAGATGCCAAAACCCAAATCCAGCTGAAGAAAATCCATTCGTCTGTCATCCTGCTGTATTGCTCCAAGGATGAAGCTGTCTACATCCTGGATGAGGCTCGGTCCCTGGGCCTTACTGGCTATGATTTCTTTTGGATAGTTCCCAGCCTGGTCAGTGGTAACACAGAAATCACTCCCAAGGAGTTTCCTTCAGGACTCATTTCAGCAGCTTATGATGAGTGGGACTACAGTTTAGAAGCTCGGGTACGGGATGGCCTTGGGGTCATTGCCACTGCTGCATCAGCCATGCTGGAAAAGTACTCCTTCATTCCTGAAGCAAGAACGAGCTGCTATGGACAACTGGAGAAAAACGACCGGCCCTCTCAAACCTTGCACAAGTAAGGATGATTGCTTTGGGTTATTTTAACCTCTGCAGCCTTGACACTTTTCTTTTTTATTGCCACTGTATGTTTCTTGAAGGAGAATATTGTATTTTGCTAATCCCTTAATTGAGCCCTTTTTAAGCAGCAGGTTTTCAGAAGCTCCAGGAGAATGTGCAAGAGGACTTGCTGCACTGATAGCTGTGCTCCTGGAGATGATGTGTGCTGTGGAGAATAAACACTGCTCTGAATCTAGTGTTAGAAGATGACAGAAATTGGTCTTAGAGGGTATGAAGCCGAGTGAACAAAATTGGACCGTTGTGTACTTTAACTATGAGGTAAAATTGCCAAAATGCTCTGGAGGCTGTGCCTGTATCACTTGCATAAGCAGGAACCTCGTAATATTTTAGAAGACAAGCAATGTGAAGCATTGAAGTGCTATCCCTGGAAATTGTAGAGTATTACATTAGTTAGGCAGCTTTTATCACATAAGAACTGAAATCTGTCCCCTTTACTTGTAAGGGTATATTTTTGTCACCTCTAATAGAATAACTGTGAAACTTAATCAGCATTAATCTGAGCTGATATAGCTGTTTTCTCTAAACAGTTTGTCAGATGGGAACTGCCCAGGTTTAAATCAGGATTTTTTTTTTGTTATTAATATTTTCCTTTTAATTATCCCTTTTAGACATGATACTTCAGATTACTTCTATCCAAAATGTTGCATGGTAATATATTTCTTTATCTAGACTGTGAGAGGAAGTAGGGTATCTTGCATATTTTTTAATAGCTCTTGACAATATGGAAGCTACTAAGAAATATTTACTAACCAAATAGTGCAGATGAAGTGCTCTCTACAAAAAAAGCAGGCAGAGGAAGGAAAGTTGGTGCTGATTTCAAAAGGGGATTTTGGAACAGTTTTAATCTTGAGATGCATGTGCATATTTAGATTAGGAGCTGATTACCACACGATGTCCTGGAACAGTTATTTCCCATGAAAACACAGCATTCTTCAGAAGCTTTCTTAAAACCCAAATGCAACTGAGTAAATGGATTTTAACATTTCCTTAGTGAGAACTTGCCTTTAGTATGACACTTGCAGGTTTTTTTGTGCTTCCTTTCCTATTTTTGAGCCTCTACCCTCTCTGTCCCTGGAGACATTGCAGAAACCCCATGATTCTTTTCCTGCTTTTCCTCATTATTTTAATTACCAAAATAACAAGGTAATGCTTTAATCCAGTAACTGTTTGGTACTTTCTGCTTCCTAAGCTGACCAAACCTGGGAAAAAATTCTAATACAGGCTTTCATTACTTTCTTGAATGGCTTTGTAAGTAACAAATGGGGCACCATTTGCCCCAGTGAGTGGCTGTGTGGCCCAGCAGGGAAAGCTGTGGTGTGTCCCTGGTGTCAGGGCAGAGCAGGGGGAGGCACTGCTGGGGGACTGTCCCACCCATGGCACCCCCGTGCTGGTTCCTAATGTGTGTGCTGGCAGTGGGGCAGTGGGAGCATCCTGTTAACCAAACTCTGTGCCTGAACTGCAGCACCTGACCTACAAACGAAGCAGTCCACTATTAATAATTGAACTCCAGGTTCTGTGAAAGTTAAGTTGTATTCTGCCACAAGTGTTGGGGCTTAAAATACTCTTGGAAGGGGCACAAAAACTTGAACCTGTTTTGAAAAAGGCTCCTACCCTATTGTTTGGCTAATACACTAGTGTAGACTTGAATTAAGTATTCAGTACTCAGCATAAACTGTATTTCTCTAAATAATCTTTATTTTCTCATTAAACCTGCATGAGTACAAGAACAGGGCTTGTGAGTGCCAGGGTAGTGAGATTAGACTTCACCAGGAGATTCTGCAGCATGCAGTGCATGATGCACCAAGGAATTATTAATAAGAGAAGCTGTAGTGCACTGTGGTTTAAAAAAGTCACTTCCTGATGTGAAACACTGAGCTATGAAGTAAAAATACCTTTTCTGCACTGGAGATTCTTTGAGCTTTTCCAACACCACAAGAACAAGAAACAGGCTGTTTTTAATTTAGAAATTCCAGAATTATGCTAAAATAAATAAACTTTAAATAGTCCTTCTTATGTAATAACTCCCCAAGACTATTCCTGTCACATATAATCTGCTAGCAAGGCAAGTATATACAAGCTTTTACCAGTACTAAGTAATCTTGGGGAGCTGACCAGTCTCTCATGCCAAGGTGAATTACATAAATTCATTGGACTTTCTCATCCTCATCACTAAATTTTACTTTTCTACTTCACATGAAAAATCAATGCCCTTATCAGGGTTTTTATTGTGAAGTGGAATCTGCACAGTTTCAGGTCCCAGACAGTGCAGTTTTATATTGTAAACTACAAGGTTAATGTACACATGCTGTGTTAAGAAACTAACCTGAGGAAAGGATTTTGGAGCATGTTCCCAGTGGAAAGGGCTGAAGTAACTGCAAACAGCTTATGGACCTGGGATCTGCTGTGCTCTACCTCCCAGTCCATCTGGGAATCAGTGCTGGAGAAGTAGGATTGAACAAGAGGACACTGCTGCAAGCTCAGAAGCAAAGAACTCAGTGGAAGTCAGGGAAGAGGCTGTGTAAGGGGATGCCTGAACAAAACAAAGCTCAAAATAGAGAAAAACCCCAGGATTTTTAGGCTCCATCTATTGTAATGGCAGTGTAATTCAGCTTTAAACCCAGGATAGTATTCTGAGGCTATGTTATAATAGCTAATTTGCTTGTAAATGGAAGTTAATAGTGCTTTATGTATGACTTCCCACATCCAGATTGCTATTTTATCTCTGTGAAGAAATTCTATGTAAAGAAAGCAGTGAAGTAAAAGCTCCTCCTCCCTCTTTCTCAAATCCTTTGAGTATTAAATTGGTTTGAAGATATATTTGTTTTGAAGCACACAATTTGTCTTTCCCCCATTACTGCAATTCTGAGATGCTTTTATTGGTTTCCTAGACCCAGAAGAAAATCAGGTTTGCTTTAGTTTTTGGAATGATCTGATCAATGCTCATTTCTGGTACACATGGGAAAGCCAGTTTTTCCCTATGAATAAAGGATTTATAATAAAATACGGGTCTCATTTTCAATGCATTAAAAATACAGATATATATGTATATTTGTATCTCTATTGATTCAGATAATCTTTTTTTATCTGTGTAAGACCCAGATCTCCCAAGGCAGAAAACCACTATTGTGTGAAATACTGGCACAGCAGGATAAATAGAATTAGCACCTCATTAATGCCAAGTCAGTTGAACAAACTCTTTTTCTCTCTAAAAAAAGGAAAACACAGAAGCAAACAAACAGCAAAACACAATAACCCTGCCAGTCATGGAAAATGCTGCTGCTTTGTGCATTGAAATGGTTCTGCTTTGTCTACCGGAGTACTCATGGTGTGTATGGAAGTCCTGACCCTGGCAGAGACATTTCACTGCAGCATTTCCAGCCACGCTGATCCTTTCAGGGATGGGTGAGGTTGGTAAAGCTGTTGCCATTATCCTGAAAGGCAAGAAGATGTGTCTGTCCATAGGTAGTCAGGTGTTTGCTGTGTGGTGCTGACATTTGGTGAGAGTCTGTTCTGAAATACAGCCCAGCTAGAGGCAGGATTTGGAGACCCATCCTTCTGCAGTGAAGGTGTAGGTCCAGAAGGTATCCTACCCTTCCCAAGCACAATTTCCTTTATTTGTCATCACTGAACCAGGAGCAGGAGCAATGGGCAGTCCACAGGGCCAGGGACAAAAGCTCAGTTGTCCTTACTGTTGTGCTGCTGTTATCCTTCAACACAGCACCTTCTTCAGAGGGGAGGGTTTGCTGTCCCTTGTCCTGATAGTCAGTCACCAAATTCAATATTTTGATTCCAGCTTCCATCATGCCAGATAAATTTGCCTCTTTTGAGCGAAATCTGGGATTAAAGGGACACAATGGTTTGATGAATAATCCAGAAAATCTGTTTAATATTTTCCCACTTACAGATCAACAGCCAATTGATAGAGGATTTGTTCATTTAAGTCAGAAGACTTGGGAACAATAGGTATCATCTTCTTCATTGGATGATTGAAAGTGTATAGATATTTCACTAATTATATATGAGTCCAAAGTAAAACTAGAACTTCACAGGAAACAAAAGAGGGGTTCTGTAGTGAAACACTGCCCCAGAGACCCCAGCATGGTGCTGGTTTAATTACAAAATGATTCAAGAAACTATTGAAAATCTGTATTAGAATTTTCTCCCAGGTTTGGTCAGCTTAGGAAGCAGAAAGTACCAAACAGTTACTGGATTAGAGCATTACCTTGTTATTGTGCTAATTAAAATAATTTAAAACAAGAGAACAAGCATGGCTCTGGCAGTGGAGTGGAGCCTGCCCTCAGGGCTGAAAGCAGGGCTCAACATCAGCATATCAGTGAATGCTCTTGGAGATGGAGCTGCTGCAGGCACCATCCTCCTAGCAGGGAGCCAGGCACGTATCATGGGGAAGCGTTTGGGATGCTTCTGAGCTGGTGCAGCAATATGGGATCAAATTAGGGCTGGTTTTGAAATGTTGATGCTAATAGTAGCATTAGCGTGCTAAGCATTCTGGTTCAGTTACACTCATCTGTGGCACATCCCAGGCAGCTGGACCCTTTCTAACTTTGCTCCCTCCCTTTGCCTCCCTCTCAGAAGGGTTCCCCAAGAGTTTTGTTGTTTGTATGCAGAGCTGGGGCAGGATGACTTTTCCAGAGCCAGTGAATGCTTTAAGGAGCAGCTGGCAGGAGGTCCCAAAAGCTGGCATGCTGTTCCTTTTGCACAGTCACTGAGCAGATCCCTCCCAAAGTTTTACTCATCCTGCTGGCTCCAAGCCTAGGGAGACACAGCTCCAAAGCAAGGGACCCTTGTGCAGGAGCGAGGGCTGGGAGGAGGAGGAGGAGGATACACAAAGGGGAACAAGTGACTCTGCATCACTCTAAAGGATTTGAATGTATATTAAAAAAAATCCTACATAGCATAAGATATGGAATTGACTTTAAAAAATGCATCAGTACCTTGTTTAATGGGGTTCTATTGCAGATATATTTCTGTATGTACTTCACACTTTATATATTCTACATTAAGCATTTTTTTGATTTCATTTTACAGAGGAAATCTGTTTCTTAATGATAAATAATGTGTCTTGGGTGTTTCTACTGATAAAGTATCATTCAAATGTCATGGTTGAATCACAGTAAGGAAGTTCAGCAGTTCAGAGCCTCAACAAGATGGAGAAGAAAAGACAAAATTTGGATTCACTCCTGCTTTTTTAGGTATGAGGCTGAGTGAATGCCAAGCCCAGATAGGCTGGCTGTCTAGGTTATTAAAATGGTTGGGTTTGCAGGAAAAGAGAAGTATTGTCAGATAACATGTTGGTTTTGAGGCATTTAATCTGCTTTAAATCTCAGTTTGGAAATTCCTTCTTTGAGAGAGAAGAGGGAGAGTTTCTCTTATGCAAGATGTATTTCCCCAAGCCTCTCCTGCTTCTCTTCATTGCCTGCAGTTCTCAGAGATTTGAAATTCTGCCCCATGGTGAAGAAGACTAAATAAAAAATGATAGTCCCTGATGATGGCACCTGGGGAGTTTATCAAGTGTGATTATCGCATTTGAGAGCAGGAAATGTAGCTCTGAACTCAAGGCAGAGAGGAGTCCCCTGGTCTTTCTGCTCCCTGCAGCTCTCAGGCCCTGTGCTTTGTTTTACAGGTCTAGGGACTAAGTTCTCTTCTTAGAAGGTAGCTTAGAAGTGACACATTTTCCCTAATGCCTCTGCCTTCCCCATTCTATTTTTCCCAGCTGCATTCTAGGGGAATTTCACACTAATTATAAACAAGCCTCTTACTGCAGAGCTGATTGTGTTCCTGAGCCTGAGCAGTCCTGGAGGGTCTTTAGGACACAGGTGGGCTGGCAGGAGTGTCCATTCCGAGGATGCTCCTCCCTGGCATTCCAGAGAGAGCACCTGGAGGGTGCTGAGGCTCCTCGTGTGGCCTCACACCTGCTTCTGTGTCATGGGATTGCTCTGCTGTGCTTCCATTCTGTCCTTGTTGGCTTTCTCAGGTCACCCTGACAAGTTTTTGAAACCAGGGCTAGAGTTGATCTTTGGAACAAAGTGACCATAATAATTTACATAAAGTTATGGGGTTTTTTTCCTTAAAATAATGCCCAACACAGAATCCATTAAGCCTTCTTTGTTTTGCTCTCAAATCCTTGGATGTGTTAGGAGAACACTTGTGTTGAATAGACATATATATGGTAAACCTCAAAAGAAATGCCATAGCCTGCAAACATGTTTGCTTTTTCTACCATAGAAGTAGAAAACCTCAAAGATTCTGCTCCAGGATTTCAGCTGTTCTCATCCAGTATAGGAAATCCTTAACAAACACTCATGGACGAGGAAGTCCATGTCTCCTGTGAGGATTCTGGCCAGAAAGGTGCCTCTGTGTCAGCGATATTGTATCCAAGCAAATGCACTCTGAAAACTGAGCTGTGACCCCTTTGGCAAAGTCTTCACCCATTTGTTAATTGAATTAGAGTCAATGAAGTTGTGATATTGTAGTTACAGGGTAAGAAACCCCAGCTTTTTCACTATGTTCTGGCTTTCTGGGTAAAGTTAGAATTTTGACAGGGATAAATATCGCAGTTTTGGCATTAATCTGAAGCTCTGTGTGAACTACTTGATCTTTCTGAAGCTTATAAAAATAAAGTTGGAAACCTTTAGAGAAGTTTGTAACCGCATGCTTCAAAGGCTTGCTGTGAATACGACAGCAAAAGTGTTCTGCTGCGGTGTTCTAAAACTTCTCAGTTTTTTGGGGAAGGTGACAAGCAAAAAAGAATTGTATAAAAAGTGTTTTTAAATACATAGTTAAGGTTAGGTTTTTTGCATGATAAAAAAACCTGTTTTGAATTCGATGTGAGACTAGCTTAACTTCTGTCAGAAAAAAGGTGTCATTTTGTATCACCTGGGGAATCTTACAAATTTCAGTGTGCAAAAGTTAATTAAGACTTCAGTGTCATAATACCACCACAAGGCCTTGTGCTAGCGTGCCTTTGCAAAGGCTGTAGCTTTAATGAGGAGTGAAAACAGATTAACTACAAATCCAAGGTGTGTTGCTAATTGCCCCATCAAAGTAAGGAGTTCAAATAACTAAACACCTCATTTAGTTAAGAACAGGAATTTGCATTTCCAAAGCTACTTCCGAAAAATATTTTATCCAATTCAGAAGCCAAAGACCTCTTGCACAGAATTAACCTTGGATAAACTTAAAACTCTAGAAGAGTAACATAATACAAATTCTTCACAGCATTATTCCTAACCAGGAGCAGACAAGCACTTGGCTATTTTTTGTAGGACAAGCAGTTTGGGATCGTGGCCAGTAAAAGCAGAGCAGGACTTCTGTCCTTTGCAGAGGAAAAATGACAATCCAAAAGCGAGTGCAGGTTGTAGGCATTGATTTTTGGAGAACACGGCAGCTGATGAATTTTGTACAGAAGAATGTGCTTGGGGAAACAAGAATCTCTTTGAAGTTCTTTTTTATTGCTGCAATGTGAGAATCTGGGGTAGCTCAGAGTGCGTCACTCGCACCTTTGTATCAGGATCAGAGAATACAATTTTAAGAGACTTTTCAGATTAGGGAATTTAAAAAATCACACCAAAAACCTTGCAAAATGTGTTTCTTTACTTAATGGCTGGTAAATTCACATGATTTAAAATATACACTGAGCTCAATTTTTCACTTTAGAGTTGTTGTTCATATTAGTCTTTTTTGGAACCCTTGAGTTTCAGCACTGCATCTTGTGATAGCCCTTACCTAGCTTCCAGGCTAGGACATTTGAATATTAATCCCAAAATATAATGAGTAGTGTTTGAAATCGGGGGTGGTGATCCTTCTGAGGAAGGGTTTAACCTCCAGTCCCATCACCATTTTCTGTGCAGTTAAAAACCCAGGTGAGCACAAAAGCCTGAGGAGTGCAGGGTGTGTGTTTGGGGTCCAGCCCTTGGCAGGGGACACACTGTTGGCTTTCAGCCCCAGTGGAACGGGGTGGCTCCTGCCTGGCCTTGTCAGGTGATTCACAATTGGGTCAGGGTACAGAAGTGAAAATGCAAGGATTGCCTGTTTCCACAGCACATCCTTGATTTCCTCTTGTGCTCACCTCCCGGGCATTTCACTCCCTGGGTCACAGTGAATGTTATGCTGGTTCCTTACATGTGAGCACAAGTAAATCCTGTTTGGTGTTTGCTGCCTCTCAAGGTGGCAGATAAGCTTTTTGTTCCCAAGCAAGATCTTTCACTGTTGGATGAAAAATGGAATGTACAGGAAATTAGTTCTACTGGACAGCAAAGTTCTGTCAAGGGGAAAATTTTGACACTGGAAGCCTATAATGAAATGTGAGTTATTACAATGGGTGAATTTACAAATTGCTGTCAAACTGGCGTTGAATGATGTTAATATGACTGTTCAGGGTAGTGCACATTTATTTATTAACTGTTATGATACAATGCCATTATTTCTTCTGGGTCTATATATGTTTATTTAGTGTGCTTCTGCTACTGGGATTTTCAGGCAGCTATGTCAATATAAAGCCTTTTCCTTTGAATCTGGAGCTGAGGAATTTTGTCTGTGTCACATTCCCCAGGAGATTATGCTGCCATTACTGCTAAAAAAGCCAGCCGTAATAACCAACCAACTAACCCAAAAATCCCCTCCAAACCCATACAAACATATAAAGCAGTATTGGTGTCTTGTTGGTAAATCACTACAGGTAATGTATGAGGAACAGTGAATTTCTGCCCTTGAGAACACATCTCTCTATAGGATGGACATCTGCACTTCTGCCTGTATCAGTCTTGGGCTGAATTTCTTTCAATTAAATACACTGAGAATTCAGAGCAATTCAATGTGAACAACTTCAGACCACAGAGATGGGCTGGGAGATATATTTTCTTCCCAAGATTTTGAATTGAAATTTTACTTCTTACTGTGGGATAGCCCTGTCAGCTTTACACTAACAGTGTGGAGTTTTGATTTTTTTTCCAACATTTTACAATTTTTCATTCTTTTATATTTTATTTTGTGTCCTTCTATTTTTTCCCCTATTCAAAATACAAATTAATTCATATGTCTTTTGAAAACCATTGAAAATTAAGGTAAATACAAAAGAATAAAAATGTAAATCCTTTTTCTTTTGAAATTACTGAACTGAATATTTACCAATACCTACAAAGCTTTCATGTGTGGTTTTGGCATTAGTGGAATTTATCCTCATGGCACAACAACACTGTTTGTGGCTGCAATTTTGGGAAGAGCTGACAGGACTCCTGGAGCTCTGAATAGGGGAAGACAGATCAGATGCACTTTGCTCTGAGTACTACTCAGTGGCACAATAGTACAATGTTACCCACAAAGGTGATGTGGGTTTGTTTAAAATGCTCCTGAAAAGCTGGTGTGGTTGTGCAAAGTGCCAGAAGGATTATTCAGGGAGGGGAGAGATTAATCATACGTAATGTGGACGCTGTTAAAAATGACGTCTACGTTATAATTCATACATCAACAATATTTTGCTTTGTTTTGAGCTACGAACTTGAAATGCCCCGAGTCCCCCCGCTGCCAGCACAGGCTTCCCCCAGCACTGGCAGGGCTTGGTGCATGCATCCACCCGTGCTGCTGGTGACCGCACTGGCTGCTCATTAACTGCTGGACAGCCCATTAAGTTTTCAATGAACTTTTCTTCCTTGCCTTCCAGGTTTATGATGAATGTGACGTGGGAAGGCCGAGATTTGTCCTTCACAGCAGATGGCTACCAGGCCCACCCCAGGCTGGTGGTGATCGTGCTCAACAACGAGCGGGAGTGGGAGAAGGTGAGCGCTGCTCGGGGCTTGGCGACTGGGGGGGATTGGGGTCACATCTCAGGGCTCCTGCCCCAGCAGCTGTGTCACAGCTCTCAGAAGAGACCATTTTACACCATCCTGAGTGTATCTGATGAGTTTTAGCAGATCAGTGAAGAAAAGCCATGTGGAGTTCAGATTTCTATGGAGTGCACTTTGCATTTCCAGTGCTTAAAATTGAGTAATGTAAAATGGATAACTGAAAAATGTCCAAAAGCTTGGTCCTCAGCTACTTGAATTTGAAGGGGTTTTTATATCTTGACAATTCCATTCCTTTTATTTGCTTGATTTTGTGGGTTTTTGACAGATTTTAAAGTAAAAGCACACTTAAAAAAAAACAACAAAAAACAACTGTGAAGCTCCTGTTGGAGAATAATCTACTCCAGGTAGACAAGTGATCTCCACATAGAGTTCTAGATAGACTAGAAGGAAAAATGTCGTAGCATCAATGTTAATAATATATTCAAGTAGTAAATGAAAAAGTTTATCACAAGCATCATTTCTTTTAAACTCCAGTCTCAGCCCATGATTGTTTTGGCTCTGAGTCTTGCAGGCTGTGTACCTATGTTTAAAAACTTGTTTTAAGAAACTGCTTTTAATATAAGACTGTAGGAAAAAATACATCTAAATCATCCACCAGTTTTATTTTAAATTCATGAAATGTGATTCTGCATTATCTAAATTGCTGCTGAAATTTATGAATTCTTTTTGTTATAGTTTTAAAAATCCATTAAATCAACTTAAAACTCCAGTTTATAAGACTACAAGACTCTACATGATGATGAATAATAATGACAAAATCAGAATTACTGAAGGACATCTCAATAAATATGCTAGTCATGCAGAAACACAGAGAGTAGTCCTAGATTATGCTGTGTATTTCTTTATGTTCATTTGATGCAAATTTAATTCTCTGGATAAATTTAATCCTCTCCAAATGTGTCAATCTGAATCTTTGGAGGAATCATTTGCTCACTAACTGTTATGAAAATTTCTTACCCTATTTTAAAATTCTCCAACAGTCTGCATATCGTATATAATGTTCTGGAAAAATATTATACTGCTTGGGGAATATTATTAGCATGAGGTGCCAAAGGAAGAAAATGCTCAAAAAGGCAGCCAACAATGCTTATGTTAAAATAATTTCATACATTTTGTACCTTGAAACTTCTCTAAAGAGACCATTCAAAGGACAAGGAGAGATGGGCTTGATTTTTTTTTTGAAAAATAATCTAACAGCAGCAAAGAAATACTGGGTATATAAACCAACATTATTTCAAATTAATAACTCCAGCCTGCTTTAACCTTCCAGTGAATTCCCTGTCAGAGGATGAGGTCTGGGGCAGGTTGTGCTGTGCCTGCCGAGGTTGTAGGGCAGCAGTGCCCACTCCCCCTGCAGTGCTGGGCTCCCAGAGGCTGATCCTTGCCTTGTCTGTGCACAGTTTTCCAGATGGTAAATCCCTTCCTGCTCTTTGTCAGGTTTGAGGGGCTCCTGGGAGGAAGAACAGAAATGGATGTGTGTGGTGGTGTGTGGCCCGGGTTTGGAGCCCTGCTGGTGGCCAGCGAGGCGAGGAGTGAGGGCAGGGCAGCTCTGGTGGCTGCTGCTCCAAAGGGCTGTGGAAGGGGGCCAGCTTTAATTAGGAATTTTGTCAGAGGGGAGGCGTGAGCGGCAGCCAAGAACGCTCTGTCACCACCAGACTTATTCTCCTGACCACAGGCTGATCCTGCCTCTGTGGATGAGGACAAATACACTGACAGTCAATTATCCTGGCACGCTGGACCTGCTCTGGGCTGTCTGGGCACACCCCACATCTTTTCAACAGAGTCCCTTGCACTTCAGCTCCAGTGACTGAGGGATTGAGAAGCCCTTCTCTTCCACATGGTTTATTCAAACAGCTCTCTAGTGTTGTCTCAACGTTCTCTCCAAGTTGCAGGTTTTACCCCATATCTCTTAGGCAATTTCTTTCCTTTCTCCTTGAGCTGTTTTGCTCAATTTCAGAACTGTCAAAGTTACTCATCTGAGATCTCCCATTTGCTGCTCTAAGTTTCCACACAGGCATGTGCTTCTCCTTTCTCTTACAGTGTAGCAGGGAGTATCACAGAATGGTTTTATTGAAGTCTTATTAAATATTCTCAATCCTGTATGGAAAAAAAAAAATCAAATCTTAGTATCTAATTAAATAATTTACTCGTGAAAAAATGACAATGCAACAGCCTGTTAATCCTCATAATGTAACTAATGTACATACTGCGAGTAACTAATTTATTATTTATGTAGAAAAAGTAATTGTGGTTTATGTGACTAATTTTTTACCAAAAATGCAAGATTTATTATTGAAACCAATTTTTCTTTGTTTTCAAACTGCTTTTATTCAAATACTATTTTTCTTTGGTTTCAGAATTTATATACTTTACTTAAAGCTTGAGGTTATAAAGAAGCTGTTCAACCATAGCTGGAGAATATTTATCTCACCCCTCAGAAAATAAGTTATTTTTTCTTTACTCAGTATTGAAACTTTGAGGTGGTAATTTCACATGTAAGTGGGGTTGATGGAGGGGTTTGTCCCATATCAGATGCTGAAGAAAGCTGTTCAAACGATAATAGTTTGAAGACTGAAAATCACTTTTTGGGCATGTTTCACAGGCATCCAGCAAGATATTTTGACAGATCCTAAAGCAGCTCTCAAACTTCTGACACCAACATTCATATTCTTGCTGCTGATCTTGACAGGCAAAGGGGTTGCTGTTCTCAGGCAAGAGATTTTTAAGAAGACAAGCTTAATGTGCTTATTAAAGTGAAACTTGATAAATTTACCAGAGTTAGCAGTGTTGCCCAAATATCACCACAGCACTGCAGCATCACTGTGCTAGTGCTCAACAACCCTCAGAGGTTCAGCAGCCCCAGCTGCAGCTCCCCTCTTCATACCTTAGAGACATGGGACCTGCATGTCTCACCAGGCCCATCAACTTCACTGAGCTGCCAAATTCACAGCCTGCTAGTCTGGCTTTTTTATTTTTATTTTAGCATATTTTTAATGTGGAAATAAACCAAATCAATCCAATATTAATATACTAGAATATGATTAGCAGTGGCAAAAGTAGGCAGTTTAATTAGCAGCATGTACCACATATCTTAAGTGAGGTGGGGAAGACTTAATGTATTTCAAGATGAGTGTGTTCTATGTGTAAAGATGAGTTCCAGGGTAAAAAAAAAAAAATTTACTGATGTTCCAGGTAGATACAGATAAAGTTATCATGGTGGTCTGTATTCTGGGTGAATTTGTGTACTCCATGGCACAATTGCTAATGAAACACCACCACAAGAACTGTTATTTTACATCCAGGTTTATTCTAAACAGAGCCTGTCATCTTTAACTTTCCACTAATGCAGGATTTAATGCAGAACTTGCTTTTTCTCTGATTAAGTAGCATATGCCAGGTTCACAAGCTCTGTGTGGGGTTGTACACATTTGTATCTAAGTAGGAAGGAGTGGGCAGAGGGTGCGTGGTTCCTGCCTGGAATAAATGAACCAAGGTCTTCACAGCGAGCTCCATCTGGCTACCAACATCCACCAGCACGTAGCCCAGAACAGACAGCACCTGCAGCTGACTGTGGAGCTGACTTCACTGGGCAGGAGATGGGAAATCCAGCCCAATCTCAGGCAGATTTCTGACAGAGCTTTTTGTCAGAGTACTGTGGGGATAAAAAAATCAGTGAGGTGCTCCATGGTAATTTCTTGTGAAATCTCGATTGATTTGAGCAAGAGTCACGACAACTGGGGGATCCTCATGTCTCGTGATAGATGATCCCTAACACTTGTGAGAAATGCAGATATTGTAACTAGAACAGATGAAATTGCCTGAGCTAATAATCTGTTTGCTGGGGTATCTTTTGTCAGTAGCTCTGTGCTGTAATGTGATATATTCTTTTTGCCCAGAGCAGAAGCAGCAGCGTGCTCTTTAACATCTGCTGGGTTGTCATTCCCTGTATTCCATCCTTGTTGTTTTGTGTATTTAGTCTTCCTGTAAATATGCCTATCCTGACACTTACTGTCAGCTGAAAATTGCATGTTGTTTCTGTATCAGTGAGCTTTTGCCTAGCCTAAAGGCCTTTCCTTTGACCTTTACTCTGCTGAATTGTTTGAATTGCACCAACTGTTATGCAGCATTTCTTAAATCATGTATTCCCAAGGAGAATCCCACCTCTTTGCTGCTGTAAAGGAATCGTAACTCCCATGGAAAGCAAAGGTGGTGTGCTTTTCACCTAGCCCTGTTCTTTTCACCTATATATTAGAGAACAGGAAGACTTTGAGGGTAGCTCTCCCTCTCTGAAGATAAGGGTATGTCTGGCCATTTCTGGAGGGCTGTAAGGTCTTCACTGAGTGCAGAGGTGACAAAACATCTTCCTCCACTGGGAGATGAAAGAATGAGCTGTCAATTTGTTTAGCTCTCTTCCTTTCTAATGACATAATCAACTCTTAAAATTGCTTCTCTGGTACGAGCCGGAACTCTGGCACTGCACAGAGTTATCTGGGACATTGCCCAGAACCAAAACTGTACCAGCCACTGAGGATTTGGTGAGTGCTAATTAATAATTCTGTATTGAAAAATGAGGCTGCAGGAGGTAGTAGCTTTTCTTTCCCCTCCTGTTTGTTTAGAATCTCTCTGGGTTCTGTGTTTTCCTTGGAGCCCTGCTGGTCACAGGACTGGTGCCTTCCTGATGGTGTCAGCAGCAGCCACGAGGGAAGAGCAGGACATTTGCATTCCCCATATGAGATTTTGCAGCAAATTTTTAAAACTTCAAAGCCTTTAAATGGATGTCTTCAAATCATTCAGGACTTTAAAATACTTATTAATAAGACATGGAACTGTTCACATCATATTTTGTAATTTAAATTTAGAGTGCCATTGTGAAATATGGACCTTCAGAAACATAAAAGTGACACAAAGGTTTGCAGCAGGTGGTGTACAGCAGATGCTGTGTCTGGAGGAAGGGTTTTGCTCTTGTGCTTTGTTCTGCAGCTGTTATTGCTAACCTGACAAAGTCTATTTTAGCTTTTTAGTTATTGATTTAAAGCTTGCCTTGGTAGCTCTTCCTCTTAAGTGGAAAAGTGTAATGAAAAAATAGTAGTAAATAGTTTTTCAATAAAGTAAGATGGACTAGATTTTGTATTTGCTCAGCACTATTTTCTTAACTAGGACAGCTCAAAAAGTATGTTTTGTGATATCTGTGTGTTAAATGTAAAAGGAACATCACTGAAAATATTTTTGAAAGGTTTGGCTGGGTAGTCCTGGGAGTGCATTTAGTATCATTGTTGTCATGCAACATTTTTTTCTTACAAAGGGATGATGGGTGTATGCAGTGTACAGCTCCCATCTGCAGGAGGAGGGTGAGGGCTGAGGAGCAGGAGGGGGACTCTGAGGTACAGCAATGTATAACTGTGCAGGTCTCTGTCTGCCTTTGGCTGCCACACAGAAACACACCAAATTCTTCATCATCATGCCAAATTCTTCATCATCACACCAAATTCTTCGTTATCACTCTCCTTGGTTGCAATCTTCCAAAGATAACAAGGCTTGGGTGAGGTGGTCAAAGCACATGTGCCAGAGTCAGATGTAGGGAGTTTTAGGCAACAGTGGATGAGATGAGCACCCTGTGGCTGCTAACTCAGTCTGACTTCAAACAATCTCTTCCATGCTCTCAGCTATTTTCCCCTTCCCCTCCTGCATCCTGTAGAGATTAAACCAAAGGGAGTATTCCAGACTGCATGTGAAGTCAGAGAAAATAGGACAGAATGTGCAAGTTCAAAAGAAATACAATGACTGTATGTACCATTGCATGTCTTTACTTGAAGATGAGTTTTGCACCTACCATAGTGAATCAACAGTTGGATGTGTTGTTAAAACCATATTTTTAATGTAATTTCTATTCTTTTGACTATAAATGAGGATTTCAATGGTTTGGAACACAATTTCTCCCAGAAATGTTTCTATTTCTTTTTTCAAGTGAAGGTCACCTTCTGTATTTCTCTAGGATCAAATCCATATTTATTATCAATATAACTAAGAATGAAAGAAATTTTTCATAAGTCTCTGGATATTTTGTGTCATGTATATGGTACAGTACATGTATATGCATGCACTTTTTGACAGCCCTGTTAACAGAGCATGTCTGCATTTTTAGTGTGTTACCCACAGCTTGAATTTTCTTTCCAAAATTATTTGGTTTACAAATACATATTACTGTGTTTGTTACCTCAACACAGCAGTTTCATAGTTGCAACTCTCAAAAGTAATTAGCATTTTCCCAGATCCAGGTATTTAAATGTGTCTGGTTATATCCTCCTCAGAACAGTAAAATGGAGTTGCTCCTGTTGAAGTAGAAAGAATATCAGAAACGATGATATCAGAATGTCATCAACTTTGGTGTTGTTCTTCTGTTAATAACACCAGAGCAACCATTGTGTTCTCGATAGGACCAGGTGACCTCACTGGGGTGGTGGCAGGTGCTCCCTGTGACAGGGACACAGATGCCAGGGGTGGCTGGCAGAGGGATGTGCCCCGGGGTCAGGGGTGGCTGGCACAGGGATGTGCCCCGGGGTCAGGGGTGGCTGGCACAGGGATGTGTCTCATGGTCAGGATCTGCCTCCTCCCGGCATCCTGCCCCCAGTGGTTTGGGTTCTGCTGCGCCACACAAATGCCATCACATTTCCTTCCTGATGCGTGGAAAAGGCAGACAGTCAGGCACATTTTCCACTTCTGAAATCCCTCATATCCCTTGGCACATTTGGTGTTTGCCTGAGGTCCTGGGCTGGCTGGAATGCTCCCCGTTCCAGATGGCCACTTCCATGCTGTACTCAGGGCTGTGACGACACCGTGTGAGCTCACGTAAGCCAGCACACTCTGCTGCCACTGTGCACCACACCTCCACAGTTAAACTGGTTTATTTACAGAAAAAAATAGGTTGTTCCCCTGGGGCTGAACTAGCTTTTCTCCTAAAGGCTTTGTCCACTGTGTTTTGGTTAAATTTTGTACTAGAAATATATATACACAGTAATCATAGATACAATTCCCATTGATTTAAGTGAGAATTCCTACTTCCCTTGAGATACTTTGAATTTCCTAATTCAAGTGAGTAGAGATTTGACATTTCTGCCTCCTACATGAAAGTTCAGTAAACCATCTTGACTTATAAACAGGATGGAAATAAAACTGCAAAGGTCATGTGCTTATGGGTTTCCTGAAATAGGAATGGATATAAATCATGTTCTTTGGGAATTTCTATGATTAACTTTCAAGTTTTTAAAAGACAGAATGTAGGTAACAATTTTAATTCTTTTTTTAAGGGCCCGAGTCTCTTATTGTGCTGTTAATTCCCACCAGTTTCCTTGCAAAAGAAATATTTGAACAGTCTTATGATTATGTTGTCATTTGTTTAGCTTAAGCAACTCAAGAATTATTAAAATGCATTAGGTTATAAATTATGTGGATTGCTAGCTCATTTATATTATCTGTCATCAGATAAAACATGTAATTAGATTTCTGGATAGAAAGTAGTTAAACAATCTGAGGAGGAAAACACTAGACTTGAAAATATTTAAATCATAAACCTCCTTCTGGTGATCTGGAAATGGAAAGAAATGTGGGTTAATTTAGAAGGGATGTTTTATAATAGTAAATAGGCTGACAAATTTCATGTGCAGTGGGGTTTGCTTTCTTAAACCAACAGTTCTTACCCAACAGTTGTCAGGATAAAATAGTTACTTCTAATGGAAAATAGTTATTTCTAATGGAAATCCTTACTAAAAATGTGGTTTGTTCTGGCTCCAGTGGAAGCCTGGGTAAAGGCTTTTACGATGGCTTTTCAATGTATAAGAGCAGAAGAGTCTTCTCTTTGGGAAGATAACGAAATGACATTGTGGCATTTTGGTTATCAGACAGATGTGTAGGGGTGAGTGTGCATTAGGGTTTTTGTTTGGGGTTTGTTTGTTTGGTTTATTTTTTTTAAATAATTTTTTATTACTTAAAATGGGTCCTGGTTACAAATAGAGTATCTGGTTGTTGTTCTGGCTCAAATAGAAATGCTGAATGTCAAATTTCAGTGCATGTAACACCAGGTGATAGATCATGTTAACTGATGACATCCAGTCTGTATAAAACAGTTACCTGTTAAAATAATGTTACCTTATCTGTCTTTATCACTGTGCATTTTCTCATTTCATGCAATTACTAATAAATTTTAAGGTAATTTTAACAACAAAACCCCAAAGCAACTGTCCTGGCCATGTAATTGCCTGTACCTGTGTCCCACCCATTTAATATTGGCTCCCCTTTGTCCAACACCATCAAGCAGCTCTCAGCAGCCTGTGGATCTTGGCCTTGCAGGTGGGGAAGTGGGAGAACAACTCCCTGAGCCTCAAGTACTCGGTGTGGCCGAGGTACAGCTCCTTCGCAGACAGCGACCCCGACGACAACCACCTGAGCATTGTCACCCTGGAGGAGGCTCCCTTTGTCATCGTGGAGGATGTGGATCCTCTCATGGAAAGCTGCCAAAAAAACACGGTGCCATGCCGGAAATTTGTCAAACTTAAGTGAGTAAATTCACAGTGTTCCCTTTTCTTTTCCTGACTGCAAAATATAGTCCTTTATTTTCTCACTGAATATGTCCTTCCTTCCCTATCGTCCCTTCCTTCCCTTGCTTCCTTCCTTTCCTCCCTTTCCTTCCCTTTCCTTCCCTCCCTCCCTTTCCCATGTGCTCTTTTCACATCCTCCTTTTTAAATAGTTGAGAGTTTCTGGTTATACACGTGTAAGTCACATTGAGTTGTTAACAAGATAGGAAGTTCATAGTAAATTCAAAGTCAATGAGAATCAGCCCTTTTCAGTCACATGGAAGAAGATTGTGCTCCAAAATGGGGCTGTTTTAATGAGTCCTCTTTGAATTGTTTCCAGTTATGTTGAGATACGCCTGCTTTCATTAGTCTGTAACAATTTGAAAATGTCTCCTAATGAAAATGTAAGTTTATGCTGAAATTTGGTACAGAATAAACTACTCCAGCATAAAATACCACTGTGACTTACTATCAAGAGAAAAGTCCCCTTCTGTCAGTGCTCCATAACTTCAGAGCAGTCATTAGAAAACAGTGGAAGAGTTTCCACTGTACATTTGTCAGTCGTGTTTCACCTCCTATGCCTTGATCTGTGTATTTATGAACTGAATATAACAGGACTTTTACTGAGCAGGTGTGAGGGAATATGATGCATGTTTCTGAAGATTTCCAGAGGCTGCATGGTTGTGCATATGCTTCCTGAAGTTCAGGGAAATTTATTTTTTTAGTTAAGTTCTAAACTAGTTTTATTTTAATTTTGAATTTTTCCAAAGGCTGCAAGATACTGCCTTGCCTTCTGAAGATGCATATACTAAAAGGTTCTAGAAGTCCCAAAACAAATATTTCAGAAAAAAAAGGTGAAGAGAAAACTTGCATCCTTGCGCTTAAAGGCGGCCTGAAGTTCACCTTCTCCTAGTGCAGGGAAAGGTGCACTTTGAGAAGATGCATCCATTTCCAGCATGGTGAACTGCTGTGCCTTTTTATAGCTTACATGTTCTTTAATTACTAAATGACATGTAGTCTGATGTCTTGAGAGTAAAAGTAATAAAAGTTTAATCTGATCCTAAGAGAGAGATTAGTAAGAGCAGGCTGTATGTCTTGATGGAGCAGTGCAGTGCGTGAGGTTGCATCCTGGAGCAGAAGGATGTCATGTGAGGTAATGTTGTCTCTGTGTCTCACCAAGCAGCTCTGTCATGATTAGCAGGAGCTGCAAACACTATATAGCTATAAAAGCATCCTGTGGGTTATTTTTGCCTTGATTCAGAAAAACATGGTCATTCACAAGAGTGGCAAAATGTTGTTTCACAGTGTGCTGTATCTTGCTGTTGTGCTGCCTCTGTTTTTCCCAGCAGGAATATTTATGTGTGGTTTGTCTATTGACAGCAACAAAACTAATGAGGGAACTAACGTAAAGAAGTGCTGCAAAGGATTCTGCATCGATATCTTGAAGAAGTTGTCTAAAACTGTCAAGTTCACATATGACCTGTACTTGGTGACGAATGGGAAGCACGGCAAAAAAGTCAATAATGTGTGGAATGGAATGATTGGTGAAGTAAGTTCTCTTTTAGGTAAAAGAGTTCCTAAGAGCTCAGAGATGTCTGTATGAGCTCTTCCGGAGGAAGGGGGAGTTCTGTGCTGACTCTGGTGTGTGTTGTCCCTGTGATCAGGTGGTGTACCACCGGGCAGTGATGGCCGTGGGCTCTCTCACCATCAACGAGGAGCGCTCAGAGGTCGTTGACTTTTCGGTGCCGTTCGTGGAGACTGGGATCAGCGTCATGGTGTCACGGAGCAACGGCACGGTTTCACCATCTGCTTTCCTAGGTATGGTCTCCAGCCTGTCCAGATAACCTAATGGCATTTCTGTAGAGTTTGGTAGATTTAATGGTGTGTTAAGATATGTAGTACATTAACACAATTCTGTTGAGTTTTGAATTTTACTTTAAGAAGTTTGTTCTGTGTTGATGTGCTGATTAACATGATCATTAACACATGGACACAGTGCTGTTGGTTTTGGATGCTGAAAATGAAAACCAAAGACAGTGATTTCAGTATGAAAAACAATCCCCTAAAATCTTCAGTTAGGAAAATTACATCCTCAACCCTGCTTCCTTACAAACTAACTTATACTTGTTTAGCCCATCATAATTTGCTTAACATCTTTTTAATATTCACAAAATAATTGAAAAACCCATTGTAGAGTTGAAGAGCAACTTCCTTATCTTTAATTTAAAGCCAGCTTGGTAACACTAAAACCATTATGTGGAAAAATAAATAATCAGTATGTTCCAGATATCTTAGGGCACAGTTTAGAATGTTCAAGTCCATTGGGTCAGCAGTGAGGCCAGTCCTAAATTACTGAGTGAAAATTCTTCACTCCCCCTGAAGTTGCTCACAGACACTGAAGAATATATTAGTGGTGTAGTATCAGATATAAGCAGGCAAAAAATTTATTTTCTTACACAATAATCATCATTTAACCACAGAGCTTATTTCTCATATCTCTTCCATAAAAACACTTTACAGAGATGATGCAAGTAAATATGACACAATGAGTAATCAAATAATTTCCCAAATGTGGTGATACCTAAGTAGATTTTGTTGATATTTGATAGGAATGAACGACTTAAAGTGAAATTGCAAGAAACTGTACTTGTAATGAAAATATTCAGAGAGTATCTTTTTATTTCTTTGAGTCATTGAGTTGTAAAGTTCATTTTTTAAATTGCAGTTGCAGCATGTTTGAAATGACCATTGGAAATAGGAATTGGGGTGTTTTCTAAAGTGCAAGTGCAGTTGATTTTTTACTTCTCTCTTAAAAACCTGTTTGCAGCCACCATCAAAAGAGAAGATGCTTTTGCATTTTTCACAAGCAACAGCATTATTAGATTTCTAAAATGCATTTAATGTTATTCGTTTAGTTGGTTGTGTATATAATTCAAAAGAAACAAAAAAAAAGAACCCCTTCTCATAAAGCTCTCTAAAATAGCTCTACTTTTGAAGAAATCTGATTTTACTGCACTAATAAATCAAGTCTGTGCTCTCAGAAGTGTGCTCTGTTTTTTTCAGGCATATGAAGCTGCCAGTTTGCTGGAATTGACTGTGTATTTTGATGAGGTGTGCGTAGTAGTAAAATGTTTTGCCTTGCAAAATACTATCAGGCAGATAAGTGAATTTATTCACAGACTGATTTTGTTTCAATTAAGTGGATGTCTGAGAATAGAGTCACCTTACGTAAGACTTTTAAAAGATTTATAAAAAAAAATCTGTCAAATATAGTACTATTTTTAAAGAATAGCACTTGATTACAGTTCCTGAAATATCTGGGTTTGTGAATTGTTTCTATGAATGTGGACAAGTACAGGATTTTGTGTGACTAGATTTTTCCAGTCAGTTGTTGTGTCCAGTAGCTCTGAGTAACTGATGGGCTGTGACAGCCTCGTCCTCGTTATCTGATGTGTTCTGATTCTGATTGTCTCCTTCAAATGAGAATTTTATCCATGTTAAAACATTTTCACATTGTACTAGAGATAATATATACTAGATCTAAAAGCACTTTTTTAATAATTCTGTGGAGTTTTGGCTCAACTTTGTTTAAACAACCAAATAAATAAAGGAAAACCTTAAATCTCCATTTCTGTATTTTTTCAGAGGGAGAGTTCATAGGTGAGGTCAGTTTTCTTTTCTGGAGGCATTGATGGAATAGAAAATCTCTACCCCTCTTTATTTAATGTATTGCTTAAGTATTGGTTTTGGTGGTGGGAGGTAGGACTCAAAGACATCTTTTCCTTGCTTGATATTCTCTGTTTTCAGTCATTTGAAATACACACTAACAAGTCATATATTAGTTTTTTTCTGCCGTATTGTAGCTTTACTGAAAACTCCTTTAAAACCTGCTGCTTGCCTGAGGGAAGTTCCCTTCCTGTCCTTTGAGAATCAAAGCACAGTGCTGAATGTGTAATTGGATCTCTGATATGACAGGAAGATCGACTTTGTTATTCAGTTGATTTTGTACTTGCTCATTCTTACTGCTTGCTATCCCAAATAGCTTTTTGTTTTCCTATTGCTTCTATTAATTCACCACCTCATTACCAGACTCCTTAAATTATTGAAGAGAATTCTGCTTAAACTCTTGTTTATAGCTCACTTTTGTACATTGGCTTGTTTTGCCCTTTGCCTTCTTTAGATTTTGACAAATTACCATTGCTGTTTCTACACTGTTGTTTTTGATAAGGGTTTTATCAGCCTTGCTTTCTTCTATGAGGATGCTGTCAAAATCTTACAGTAGTTCTACATGAATTCCAATTTAATCCAGTTACTAACTGAATTCAGAAAATATTTTTTAGATTGTATTTGGCTACATAATGTCCCTTCCCTGGCTGCATCTACATAGATCTCTCTCTGCCTTATACAAATTCTGTTATTTTCCTAACTTACCATTCTCTTCCAAACAAATAATTAACAGTATTTGAACGAAGTTCATACCCTGTCTTAAAAAGAAAATAATTAATTGCAAAAATACTGTTCCTTTGCAAGAGGAAAACAGTTTGGTTTAAAATATCCCTGCTTTGCCTTAGTTACCATCCAAAAGCACCAGTGGGGCTATTTGTGGTTTGGTCTTGTCTAAGTCACAGGTTTCTGGAGAAATCATAGCAAAGACAAAAAGATCTCATGGGTTTTCTATGCTTGGGCATAAATTATTACATTTCATTCTATTTTGGGTGAATCATCTGAATTTGGGCAAGGCTCAGATTGGGCTATTGGGCTTAGAACACCTCAGCTCTCAGTCATCGTCCTTTCCTGCAATGAGGGAAGAAGCTTCAGTGATTCTAATCTTAAATTCAAAGAATGAAAAAGCTACAAGAGAGGAACTTTTTGGGTTTTCAAAAACAGGCAAAACATTTTAACAAACTACTTTTCTGTAATTTCAATTTTTTCTTGATTCTGTCCTAATTAGAAATAGTATTCTAAGATTTGTTTTCTCGCACTTCAGTGCACGCTCACACTTGCTTGATTTGCACAAGTTACGATGTGAAGTGCCCCAAATAAGTTGGCCTGATAAAGAGATGTTTGTTTGCCATGCTGATCTTTATCAAAGCAGCTACTGCAGGGACTCCTGAAATGACAGAATCTGTGGTTGGGAAAGATGGTATTTGATAGTGAGTCCTTTCAAAAAGTTGGTGCTTAGTCTGGTATTTGAAATTGCTTTTAGTTTTATGCTCCAACCTACTTCTTTTACTTAATTATGGTTCTTCTGTCTTTCAAACTGACATCCACTTTTCCATAAGCCCTTTTGATTTCAGTAATTTGCTCCCAGATGAGAATGAGACATTCGAAAGGATGTGGTTGCAATTGATAAAAATATCATCTTCATTGCAGTTAGATGAATGTAAACACAGAGAGAAAAGAATCCTTAAACAAAAGTGTTTAGTTTGAATGCAAGTATTTATCTTTACTCCTGTAACACTTTTTGTTGGATAGAAAACGATAGAAAACATATGCTGAATTGCTTTTGCTTTGCAGAAACACAGTCAAAGAAGTTGGACCATTCCGTTGATAAATTTCTATAATACAGGATGAATAGACGCAGCAACCTGATTGTGGACTGAAAACAGCGAGTCAAACCAATTATGTGCCACTCAGTGTCCAAGAAAAGTGTGCAGCCTTTTGTTTTTAATTACAACTTACATTTCAGCTTTTGACTTTATGGATTTTGTCTATGTATACTAACAGCAGTTCATTATATAGTGCTTAGTTATTTGCTAGCATTTTTGTTGGAAAAAGCTAATGTAGAGGAAGCTGCTGGGCTTGCCTGCTGAGGATATTAGAATTCTTGTGCTGTGACTGGTTTAATGAACTGTGTTTCTGTTTCTCCTGTTTTGCTGCAGAGCCTTTTAGTGCTTCTGTCTGGGTGATGATGTTTGTGATGCTTCTCATCGTGTCTGCCATGGCTGTCTTTATATTTGAGTACTTTAGTCCTGTAGGATACAACAGAAACTTAGCACAAGGGAGAGGTAAGATTTGCATTTTACTCAACTCCATGCATCCATGGGTCTCCATCTTTTCAAATAAACATAACATAGGAATAAAACAATGAAATTAGCTATTAAACTGTTCATGTTCTTCATTTAAAGTATGATTTCTTGAAGGCTTATATGCTCATGTTTATAATTCCAATTCAATGGAATAAAGACAGGGAGCAGGGTAAGTGGTATCAGTTTTATTCAGACAGTGTTTGGTTTGTACACAGTATCAGTTGTAAAGTGTCTGCAGTGAAATATATTCTACTCCTGGCTATTACAAATTCATGACCAGTTCAGAGAAAGTTACCTAAAATCCTGTGGTCTGCTGGGCAGTTGGAAAAATAGCAGTTATATTGTCCATAGTTTTGTATAGTCCCTGTAAAATTCAGAAGAGCTCTTAGCCATGACGTGAGGCCCCTGGCAGAAGGGCGTCTCTTCTTTCTGTGTAGCACCCTCGGTTATAGAAACTTCATTTTCAAAACAGACAAGCTCTGTATTGACTCTTTCTCGGTGAAAGTTGCACTCTGACTCTAGAGTGAGGATTCCATATCTCACAATGCCCTCATCCTCCCATTTCTTAAGTGACATTTGAGAGTGCAGCCTTTGTTAAAATTTCTAAATCATTCTTGCTGTGTTTCGTAACAAGAGATCTTCCAGCTTGGTGAACACAGTTCTGGGCACTATTAAAAGCAAATGATTTCTTCTAGACAATGGCTGGCTTGTTCCCTGAAAAAGTAGATTATTGTAATGTTCAGATGATGGTATCATTTTAATAAGATGGTAAATGTGTAACCTCTGTCTGAAATAAACACTGTGTTAAAAGAGGGGAAATCAAAGGTGACTATAGACACGGGGGTCCAGGGGCTTGGCTGTTCTATTCTGTGCCTGAATTGATTATTTAGTGCACTTACAGCTACAAAGACATGCTATGGCACTAGACCATCCCAACCTAACTCTGAAGACTTGCCACTAATCAAGCTGCCATTAATTTTAAACCTGGAATATTAAAAAAAAATAAATATTTATCATCTCTCATTTCCCTAGGCATTTTTTTGCAGGATGAATCTCAGTAGTAATATAATCTCCAGTGGCATAAACAGAACTTTAGATTGCTCCCTTGGCATATAATTTCTGTAACACTATTGCTCAGAAAAATGCACATTATCCCTGTATCAGCTCAGTCGTTAATATGTCTACAAGGTAGTTGCATAAACAAAAAGTCAGCTCCATTGTGTTCATTTTACTGCACGCTATTTTCCTAGTGCTGCTGCAGAATAGGAGCATAATCTAAGATGTAGAGCTTGACTGCATTGTGAAATATTTGCACTGCACTAGAGAGCATTTCTACTGAAATGAGAGCATGCACTGAGTATACCCACTTAGGGTTTTATTATTTTAAGAATCATTGAATAATTATTAAAATAAATTATAGTTTAAATGAATAGCTAAATCTATATTTGTAATGTGCATCCCCTTGGATAAAGGGACAGGGCAGGGAAGGAGATAAAGTTACAGGTTTCTGCATCAGAGTTTATTGACTAAATTGCAATTGAACTGAAAAAAGGATAATTATAAGTAGGCCAAATGAGTCACAGTCAGGGGAGGCCTGTTTCTCTGCACTGGGGGTGCAGGGAGTCTGGATGATGAGCAATGTGTGATGGCATTGTGCTTACCTAGAGCTGGGTGAGAATAGCTGCCTTTGCTTCTCCCAGGGCTCTGCAGATGGGGCCTTTGGGGTGGATAATGACATTGTTAATTCACTTCTGCCCCTCTGCTGGCCACCTCCAGCTTTGGGGTGAATTAAAAGATGACCAAAAATAGAAATAATAAAATTTACAGAATGCCTTAGCTGGGACAGAATTTCACCTGTAATGTCAACACATTTGGAGCCACAGAACATGTGAGGCAAGCAGAGCCTGGCTTGTTCTGAATTCCCTGTCTATAGAGGTAGCTCCTTTGTTCTGTCTTTCTGATTCATGCTCTGAGTACAAAGGTGCTTAAAAGTAGGTGACACATTCACACACTTTGATCTTAAAAATGCTTACATAATGTTCAAAAAGCATAATGTTGGATGACTGGAGATGATAAAAATAATTTGGGTAAGAAAAGTACTAGAATTGAGTCATTAAACCTCCAGCTTTCCATTTCACATGTTTGCTTGCACAGAAAACTGACAGGGCAACACTGTGGCACATTTCTTCCTGCAGGAGACATACCAGCCTGCTTCTCCTCCAAACCTATGCTTTCCTTTCTCATCTTAAAAATTTTGAACATATGCCACATAGAAAAATGTTGAATTATGTTTTAAAAATGTGGAACTCGTTGTCATTGCAAGGAGGGTACCTATGGTAAATCCTGTGAGTATATTTGCAGTACAGTGAATTTATATACCAAAATATTTTCTAACCATGTCTCTGGGACTAATGGGTTGTCCCTGCATGGTATATTGGCAAGGTTTAATTTAACTGCAGCTGAACTAAGTGCACTTTGCAATTGCAGATCCCCATGGACCATCCTTCACCATTGGAAAGGCAGTGTGGTTACTGTGGGGCTTGGTCTTCAACAACTCTGTGCCTGTGCAGAACCCCAAGGGGACAACGAGTAAGATCATGGTGTCAGTCTGGGCTTTCTTTGCTGTCATTTTCCTGGCCAGTTACACTGCCAACTTAGCTGCCTTTATGATTCAAGAGGAATTTGTTGACCAAGTGACTGGGCTGAGTGATAAAAAGGTAGGTATTCAGTTCAAAAGATGTCAGTGTGCATTCTCCATAATCCTTCTACAAATTTGTACTTCGTGATAAAAACTCTGAGCAAGATAATGAACTAAAACTGGATGATTTCCTTCTGAGTGCAAGTGCAAACTTTACTAACCAACCTAAGACCCAAAGCATGAAAATATCAGTCTGTTTTCAAAATCTCTGCATGCCTATTCAAAAGTAGCTGCATTAACTGAAAATTACCTTTATTTTGTGATAGAAATCAGTTAGTGTTTGGTTAAAAAGAATGCCTCACCAAAATAAAAAGCTTGAAAATTTTTGTGGGATATTAGTAGTATATTAATAGAAAAAAGTCCATTTGCAAAATTATTGTGATGGATATGCACAAGATACCTGAAGGGTATGCTTTTGTAAGTGTGTGCCCAGTTGTTCAAAAATGAAACTAAATATTGGCATTAAGAAGAAATATTTAAATACAGTATAGCCCAGGGGACAACTTCACAAAGGGTTTTTTTCTCAAAGGACAGAAAATAAAGGAAATTGTTACTAAAAACAAATCAAAAAGGCAACATCTCAGCCTTGTCTGTTTTTTTTTGTTTTAACTTCTTTTTGTGACCAGCCTTTGATTGATTGCCTGGTATATCAAAGCAAGCATGGCTAGAGGAAAGATAAAAAGAAACAAAAAAATGATAATAGTTTTGTTTTCATTTAATTATGTTGTCACACAACCTTTGAATGAGCATGAAGATTGTTAAATATCCCTCTATTTTAAGATAACATTCTTAAAAGAGACGGATAAATGGCATTCTCTTTTGGGGATTAAAAAGAAGATTTGAGGAATGTCTTTCTGCTGTTGGTGAGAAGGAGCAGAGCATTTTCCTGGGCCCTGGTTTTGGCAGGCTCTGCCTTGCACCTGGCACAGCAGTGGGCTCAGGTCTGACCGACCCTCAGCTTCCCCTCCTCGCTGCCTCTTTGCCACAGGGCTGGAAATGTCAGCTCTTGTTCTGTGGCTTTTGGCTAAAAACTTCCTTGGTTTTGTCATTTTTTCTATTCTGACTGCTAAGTAGGATTTCGTTTCCACAAAAAGCAAAATAAAAATAGAAAAATACTTGAATCAGAAAATACCATCTGTTCTTGTGTGGTCAGCTGATCATTTATTTGATCTGCCACCTTTGTTTCTATTTTTTGGTTCTTCAAACTTTGCCTGAAGCACATAGATATAAGTCAGGGAAGCCATGCCTTTTCTGATTAAATTAAAAAAGTTAGAACTCCAGAAGAGCAACTGAACTATTTCAGAACATTCTTCTTGTCATACATAGGTTTTGCCTGCTCCATAATCCTGAGGTTTCTTGGATTTTAAAAAACAAAATAATCTGGGATAATTTATAGGAATGTAATCTGATTGATGTTAAATTATTTTTCTCCCATTTTTGCCATGTTTATACAGTTCAGTACAGAACTCTGACCCTTGCAGGAAGCAAAACAGTCACAGGCAAGGGCCAGAAATGTGGGTATAAATCAATTTTGAATAATTAATACCTAAAAGTTCACTAAATTTTTTACAAAAAATTAAAAATCCAACCCCCACTTCTGGGCTGGTAAATCAGTTTGCTATTCTTCTCTCCCACTTTTCCCACTGCCACACCTGAACAGTCAGGCTCTTCTGTCAATGCTGTACTGCCAGTGCAAAAGTGTTTCCAGTTAGAGATACTGGGGTGTGATGGAAAAACAGGAAACATCAGGAAAACACATCCCTCTCTCTGAGCAGCCCCCTGACCCTCAGCACTCAATGCTGTCCCATTCAAAGTGTGTTGCACTCTATCAGCTGCTTCACCAGATTTGCTGACGTGATGATAATGTGTTATTTACTCCTTGATGCCCTAAGACCTCTTTATAGTTTCCTCATCCCTTGAAATGTTGCTAATGAATTTGTGAATGCCGTGTCATCAGAGTGTCACCCAGAAATACATGGCACAGCACGTTCTGGAGTGAGGAGGGGTGGGTGTTCATAAACTCAAATGATTCAGCAAATGAGAGGAAAATGATATTTTGACATTCTTGTGTATGTAATAGATGTTCAGAAGCTTTGCCTTCATCAAAAGGTACAGAAAATGAGTCCAAAGTATCCAGCAAAGACTGAAATTCGTGGCTTTTGTACTTTTGAGACCTTTTATGCCTATTTCATGCAATGAAACAGGAAAATTTGCTGAAGGAGGGTGGGTAGCCCTGCACAGAGCTGTCTCACAGTGCTGTTCTGCTGGGGTTCTGCCACACTTAGGAATTGCCTCACGTACACATTCCAGGAGCTTCTCTTCAGCTTCAACAGGAAACCTTGATGATGCCCCTGACAGGCTCCTTATTTTTGCAAGATTCAGAGTGTAGCCTTGGCTTTCTGCTCCCGTGCCCTAGGATGGCACAGGTGGTGCAGTCACCGAGATGTGTCTGTGACAGCAGAGCAGCAGGGCCACAGGCAGGGAGGGAGAGCCCCTGAGCCCAGCCCCTCTCACACTGCCCGATATCAAACAAAGCTTTCTGTGCTTCCTGAGGCTGGGCAGGCACAGCTGTCCCTGCACTGCAGCACCTGGTGATCATAAGGACAGTTTTGGAGTGACTGATGGCTGCATCTTTGTAGGATCACAAGTCAGAATGCCAGGTTCCCATCTGGTAAAAGAGGAAAGGAAAGGGTTCAAATATGGGTGTTCTTCTGTCACTCCAAACGAGTTGTAACTCCTGCTCCCAGCAGGAGATTATTTACTGTTTTCTAGTATTTAAGTAGTGTTTCCCACAGTTCCTTAAAAAACTGCAGAACAATAACAAACAGCTGCTCTCAACACCAGCCTTTTCAGGCAAGCAAGTAAATCTTTAAGTCAATATGTAATGCTTCTGGAAGAACACTTTGCTGACTTAATGAAATTGCCAGTTTTATTAAGGCATATAGGAAAAAAAAAAAAAAAGCAAAAGACTGGAGTTGTGCTGCCACGTGCTACAGTTCTGTTGGGTGGCAGAGCAGGGGGAGACAAGAATGAATTAATTGGTCACTCTTCAGAGTAACAGTAGATCTCTCCACTATGACTCAAACAAGGGCCTTGTGCATTCAGTTCAAGAATTCTGCCCATGATTTAAAAGATCAGCATTTCATGAAATGTCTAGGAAGAAAATTATTTCCTAGCAAACACGACATATTTTGTTTCTCATCATGGGGCTTTAGGGAAAATGAATGCATGTAGAGTCTTGATTTTTTTTTCCCTTTCTTGTCTCTTGCCTGCCACATAGATCTTTGCTGCAGCCACAGACAGTGACAATCCTGTGTGCTTCTCCAGGACGTGGCAGTTCACACAATATAAGTTTAATATTATTGATGAAACTTTTATTCATCTCAGATATGACTGCAGTGTTAGTAAAAAGATTTAAACCTCTTTCTTCTTTACAAGTAGTCTGTGAGCAGGCAGTAGTAGCAGATGATGGTTTCAAAAATAATCTCCTTGTGAGTGATAAAATTTGTTGGTTGGTGCCAACAAATTCCAGTCTGTAGATAGGGTTTGGAACTATTAATCTGCTTTTTAACTCTGTGACTTTTGAATGAACTTGGGGTTTTTATTCATCCTTATCTTCTGCAGAAATGTTTCTGTCTTCCATGAACGTTCAATTTGAACAGATGTGTTAATTCTTTCAACTATTCCTATGAGAGGAAATGCCTGCCAACATCCTAGATTCATATGAATGTTCTTGAAAAGTGAGACTATTTAAAAACAAACTCCATTTTGAAATCACCAGAATACTCCACCATAATGTCCCTGTTCCCCCAGTTCCCCTGCCATTCCCCAGTTCCTCTGCCACACTGGAAACTGAGCTTGCCTCAGTTTCTCACCACAGCTGAATTTCCAAAAAATCCCAGCAATATAAATAGCAGCAAGTCTTACAGGTCCTGAAATTGGCAGTTCTATTTTTTTCAGTTCTATTGACTGTCAAATTTAGGAGACACATGAAGCCATCTCAATACATCAGAGATACATCAGCTCTAGATTTAAATAAATTTGATAGCAAGCTACATTTATATCAATAGAATCTCTGGACATATATTTAAAAGCAGGGTTTGTTTCAGTGTTGCATAATAAACTCAGAAAGGGAGATGGCAAATATAGACTAAGAATCATGAGTAGTGTACAGTGTAATTTTGGTGCATGGGTCAATTACTATGTGTAAAAGTAGTAGCAAAGTTATAATTTAAACAGTAAAGCTCTGAAAAGGGAGAATGAGGAAAGTAAGACATCTGTTAGCTAAACAAATAGAGAAAAATAGAGTTCATTCCTTTATGCTTTGTCAAAATATACTTAATTAAAATGAAGTATTTAATTGTAGTTCTGTAACAAGAAAATGGTGTTGCAGCAATAATTTCACAGTCAAGGTTTGATGGAATTGAAAATACTCCCATTTTTTTTATAAACCCATTTGTATTCTCTTTGCAAATTGGCACTGGATATTAGGAATTCTTGATGCCCTGGGACCAAATGTTAAAAAGAGAAATATTTCATATGGAGCCCCAAAGGAATCAGTAGCTGTATAAATATTAGGCATCTCTTGCAGCACAGGATATATAGATTGCTCCTCTAACTTCAACAATAAAAACAGAGTGCATTTAGAGTGGAATTCATGGGTGACTGCTTTTATCAATGCTCAATTCAATTTCCTCATTTGCCAATAGTTCCTCTAATCTGATTGACCTTTTCCATTTGTTTCTTAAAGAGACATTTTAATCCTAAATTGTCACAGGGGTTTTAGAGGAAGATGTTGAAAAGGTGCATATAAAATTTTCAGATCTGTTAGCAAAAAATTGATGTGAGATTATTTGAAGGATTGCCAAGTGTGGAACCAGGAATATGCCCTGAGTTATTGCCATTCCTTTGCAGATCCCCCCTGGCTGGTTCATCTGTGCTGATGCAATAATGATAGAGAGAGTAAAATTGTAGAATAAACCTGTATGTCCTCAAGCAAATGGTTCATAGTTTTAAATGGTAGGGTTGAACAGGGACTAGGATTCCAGGTGTGGGAGCTCCAGCCCTTCTCATATCAACCTGTGAGTTGCTGAGCCCCTGTGGAAGCTGCAAGAGCTTTTATTCCCCTCCAGTCCTGGGTGGAAGGAAACTCCCTCACTCTGCCTCTCCCTGGCACAGCTTCCTGCCATCCCTGGCACCCTCCAGGACTGGGCTCCCTGTTGAGTACTGTGGATGATCCTTTTCCCATCAGGAAGATGGGGAATCACAATGTCCCAACTGAGATGGAAATGTGAAATGACTGTCAACAAAATACTCTTTTCCTTTGGTTGCAGTTTGCCAGTGTGTTTGGGTTGGGTTGGGTTTTGGGTGCCCTAAGGAGATGCTGGCAGATGAGGATCTGCTCCAGTTTCTGCTGTCCTGCCAAAGTGCAAAGCAGGGGAGAGAGTCACATTTGAGTGCCAAAATGGAGCTGGTTTTACTTTGGATGTAGATTATGTTCAGTTAGTGTGAAGACAGTTTCTGGTATAATAGAACTGAACTGACCCACAGCATTTGACTAGAAGAAATTTGAGGTAATTTACACAACTTCTGTCTTTTTCAACCTGAAATTGCCCTTCTTCACATTTTGGATGCCTGAAACACTTTGCTTGTCCCCTTTATCTCTAGTTTCAAAGGCCACATGATTATTCACCTCCTTTTCGGTTTGGAACGGTCCCAAATGGAAGCACTGAGAGGAATATCAGAAACAACTACCCTGATATGCACCTCTACATGACCAAGTTTAACCAGAAAGGAGTCGAAGATGCCTTGGTCAGCTTGAAAACTGGGTGAGTTTTTTCCCATGGTTTTTAAAGAATGCTTTTCAGTAAACTTTTCAGAAACAGAGAACTATTGCTCTGTGCTTTCTGTGGTACTGAACAGACCGATGTCAGGCTGCTGTGTATTGCATGGTGCTTTTTTTTCCCAGCTGTACACTTATGGAAAAGGAAAATGATTGACTGTGATTTCTATGGTTGTTTTAAATTACATGGTAGCTTCAGTGTCTTATGAGAAGTAGTTTCAAAGTGCAGAATTAATGTTTCTTGAATTTGAAGACAGTACAGTCTCTTGTTATCTTGGCAGTGCTGCCTAATCCTGCTTCTGACAATCTTGGTAAATATTTGGGTAAATATTATTGCCCTTCTTTCTTAAGATCTGAGATTTAGTCTTGAGGGCCATCCATCCTTTTCTGTCTGAAGTAGCCCAATCTGCCTGATTGGACAAAGAGACAAATTTCCATTCTTAATCCTCCAAAGGCATGAGAGTGACTCATTGCTCATATCATTATTCATCTGGGTGACAGGAATCTGCTAGCTTTAAACATTTAGGCTTGATAGCAACATGATTATATTTGTTAATAATACAGTAATAATATTAATTTCTCAATATAGGCTTTTTAGGTTTTGTTTTGAGGTGAGAAGTTACTTTAGTGGGTTTAAGTATATGTGCTCTAGGGGCTGTTTCAAGGAACATCTCTCCTCATTTATGGTGAACACAGGACGTTTCTTCCTATACTAAAATATACTCTTCTGATCCTTTTTGGGGAACTGCTTATCATTTTAATTTTTACTCCCCTTCTGCCAAACCTGTATAGGAGTTTATAATGTATTACTTAAGCAAAACACCTTGAAATCCCGAAATCTTTCCTTAGAATGAAGACTCCCTTAAAAAGTTATCCTTCCAGCTGTTTCCTTCTCTTCTGTCTCCTTGCTGCTGTCTGGACTCTGTCTGCCCTCATTTCCCCAGGCATTCTCAGCTGGCACTTCCCAGGCTGGTTTGTCCCAAGCCAGGCCAGATGTGTGACATTGCGTGAGGTCAGCCTTGCCCAGGGGCTTCCAGACTGCAGCTCCTGCTCTGACCCAGCCTGTGCCAGTCACCTTTGCTGGGTGACAGCTGAATTATGCACTAGAGATAGACAGTTGGATCCTACCATTCCTGCTGCGAATTTCTGAAGGAGATGTCCTGATTTCAGCCATTTGTAGGACTTGTTCTGTTGGATGGACAGTTTATTTAAGGGATGTATACTGCTTGTACTTTTCACCAACCATTTGTGCTACTGAAAGCCCTGAAAAACTGCTGTTAGCTTGAAAATCAGGCCATTCCTCAGACACTTAAGTGTGAAAACAGGGGGGCCAACCTGACTGCAGGGCTGTTCAGGATGTTCACTGAAACTCAGGCTGGCTGCTCCTGGGACAGCTGATGGTCCTTCTCAAGAGCTTTGCTCCTTTTGACAGCATCAGCTATTCATTTTTGACAGATTCCTTTTTCCCTGTTGAAGTTTCTTTTATCTTCTGAGTGATTTCTCTGTATGGATACCCCCAGGTGTCTGCCTTGCTCCCCTTGACTGATATTTCTGTAGCAGATGGTACAAATAAACTTCTGGGTCAATACAAGTAACTGCTGCCTCCAGCTGTGCTCCTTGGGATTTTGTCTGGTGGCACCTGCAGAAGGATTGAACAGCAGGATGTCAGCTGCTTTCAGACTCATATTCTTCAAAAACAATTTTTCATTTTTCTGCCAGATTTTCTGTTCTTCAGCATACAGAATTGTATCTTGTTTCTCTCCCCCTCATGATTTCATTGACCAAATCCTTTTTCTTTTCCATGTAAAAATTGCCCTTTCATCTTTAACTAGACTTGATGAAGTCTAGTTGAGACATCTTTAACTTCTTTCCCTCCCTGATTCACTGGATTCCATAATATTTAGTATATCTGGTCCCATGAAGTTTGTGTTTCTATGGTTCTTTTGAAGGTCACTCATCTCTTCTTCCTCAAACTGCTTCTGCTTCCAAATAAATATATAATTTCTATTTTCCTCTTCAATGTGTGTCTCTTCATCTTATTACAGCTAATTTGTCTCTTTTCATCTTTATCTCTTTCCAAAACTATTCCTGTACCTTTATCTTTTTTTTTTTTTTTTTTTTTTTTTCATTCTCATCCTTGGGGATACAACAAGCAACTTCCTTATCCATGGTAAGAGCTGCTGCTTCTGCACAGCTTTTTGAAAATGAACTATCTGATAATTTTAGTCATAGTCTATAGACTGAGAAGGACTTGCAAAGAATCTGGTTGATAATTGCTGCTGTGAGTTAAAATAAATATGAACTGTGTTATCCCTGAAGAGTGTTTGTATAACCTGTATTTCCAGTCTCACTTTAGAAACTACTTTTGCTTAATTTGAGACATGAAGTTTAGTCCCTTTTAATTACTTTTGTATAGTGTTTGATTCTAATTTCAAGATGGAGTAAAAAATACTATCAGTGAAGCAATGCTTAATGATTGAATAATGCAATACATATGGCCCTTGTGATCCAAATAAAATGAAATTATAAAGTAGCACCTTGTCACTGTTCAGTCTGATTTTCCTGTGTTTCAAACAAAGTCTTTTGATCAACTTTAGTTAGCATTAACATCTTGAGATCTATTGGAAATATCTTGATCTTTGAGATAATTGTGTTTAATACATAATGTTATTGAGTTGAACTAGAAGGAGAAAGCAGGAAGATGACAAACATAAAATTTCAGATGCACAGATTTCTGAAAATAAATTAAAAACTAAACTGCAGTGGGGTTTTGTTTGGTTTAGGTTTTTTTTTAAATCTTGCTTTCTTTCAAGAAGTAGAAAACCAGCTGCTTCAGTCCACTTGCTAATGTGGCCAGAAAAAGCCTTGGGGGGAGAAATATGGATAGAAATATGTATAAAATAAATGGTATTCCTGCCTTTATTTCCTGGTCAGGTGTAAGGGTTAGATAAGACTTGTGTTGGAGTATTGCTGTACATGCAGAGGTGAATGTGCTCACATCTGTGTCTGGGAAGCCTTGAAAGCAGACCCAGCCCCTTTCTGGTCTCATCTTTGAGAGGTGAAGCTGGTACTGTTTCAGAAATTAACGTACAAGGAAAGCATCTGCCTTTGTTTTTTTTTAATTAGAACAAGCAACTTCATTGCATGGGCAATAGGCTTGGACCTATCTTGTTCAATTAGCATCAAAAATGTTTGAGATCATCACCTGGGAAATGCTGCAAATCAAAGTGGCAATGAGATTTTTGTGTTAGTCTGACATTGACATTGTACCTGCTCCCTCGGGTGAATCCCCATGGGGGTTCACTGCAGCTTATTCATGAAGGCTTGTTGCCATCGGGGTGAAGGCAAAGTTATCAGCTTTGTTGGTTTTTCCTCTTTGATACAAAATCAACCTTTGTTTCTGAAAAGATCTTAAAAAAATTCTGTAAAGACTCAGTAATATCCATCTCTTGTCACTAGGGTCTTATTTCTGAGATTCACAGATGTATTTCTCAGGAAGCTGCTGAAGCACCATTTGAACAACAGCAGAAATATATTAATTCAATGTGTCAGTTTGCAACCAGGCCTGTTAAAAACGGAAGATCTGGTTATTGAAGTACTACTTAATAATTTTCAAAATGGCAAAATATTGTCCCTCCTTCAACACAGTTCGCTGCTGAAAGCAACCTCAATCTTCTAAGCTTGTCAAAACATGTACTTGTGTTTTTCACTAAATTTCATGCGTTTAAGGGATCGGGTGGTCCACATGTGCTGTGCTACGTGCAGAGCTGGGGATCGTTCCTTAGGCAGGACCAAGCAGCTCGGGGTTTCTGTAGGCTTTTGTTCTCTAATGAGAAGAGAAATGGCAGTTGTTGCCCTGAGCATTGCTCAGAAGAGCAGGGTCTGTAAGGCATTAGCTAATGTGCTCTTGGTGGGAGTGCCCAGCTCTGCCAGAGACGTGGAGGCTCCTCTGGGCTCTTGAGATGTTTATTGATCAAATACAGCCTTAAAAATGCATTGCAAGCAGTTCTGTCCATGCTGCATTTAATTGATCTACATTTCTAGAACCCTCTGTACCAGGGAGACAAATCCTATTGATTGTGCTTTTTGAAGAGACAATAAATTCCCAAACAGGAAGTTATTAATTATTGTGTTATGCTTGCAGTGGCTCTTTGGGTGAGCTTCCTTCTGTTTACCTGGCCATATTTTTCCTGAAGAGATTATTGTTAAAGAATACCATCTTTTCGCAGGCAAAGCAACCTTCCAGTTGCAGTTCTCTGGTGTGGGTTGTATGAGCTCATAGCTCTTGAGTTTGCACGCAGTGTTTCTATTTGTGGCTGTAAAACTGTCAAGAGGAGAAATTGCAATGGCAATAAACTGGAAATGCATTTCACGTTCTCACCTTTGCCCCAGCACATCTACAGCGGCATATAGTCTGGGATTTAACTGCTAATGGCTGAAATGAGAAAATTTAATTGGGAGAGGCTCTTTTTACTGTAGGGATAAAATGGGAAATGTTTGCTTGCCTGTTGCCCGTCGCTTCCTTTCAAGGGAGCTGCAGGAATGAGTCCCTGGCGTTCCCCAGGCAAGCAGCCCCGTGTGCAGCTGCAGATCCCCTGGCTGTCATGAGTTCTTTACAGCTTTTATTGCCAGCCACAGCTGTGACTGTGTGTTCAGGGATTTGATGCTAAAGTTTACTTGGGACTTCATCTGCCTTCCTGTTAAAGACAGCAGTGCTTGTGTTGATACACATCAGTTGAACACCTTATTCCCACGTCCTCTCTGACATGCTGGTGAAATTGCAGAGCTGCTTGGAAAGGCTGCTGTGGTGGCAGTGTGTCTGCACTGCCACAGCAGCAGTGGCCTCAGCTGTGCTGCGTTATCAGATGTGAAGGGCTACATCCCCATGATTTATGAGCTGCCCCTGAGGAGCTGCTCTCAGCCTGCAGGCTGTCCTGACTGTCACTTTGTCAGGGACACGTGATGGCTGTATCCTCAGCATCCTTT